TTTAGGTGAGAGCAACAGCTCACCATGAGTGCTTAGCAGTTCATTCAGATTCTCCCCTCTGCTTACCATAACAACATTTTTCCAGTTCTCTGCCATGTCTCATTTTGAACAGAAATAGCTCCCGATAGTATTGAGATCACAGAAGTTTCAGGTCTTTAACGTCCTTCATTTCTTCCAGATGCCCATAGAACCTCCTGCCAATTTGTTTCTTTTTTTTTTTTTTCCCCAGGAACTTAGGTTTCATCCCAGCTGCATGTCTGCAGCTTCAATTAGGAATTAGGAAGCAATTAGAGTAAGCAAAGAGCAGTACTGGGAAAGGGCCAGTGACCTTGAGGTTTTCTCTGGAGAAGCAAGAAACCCACTGAGAGGCAGGACAAGATTTCACTGGCAAGGTCATCCTAGCATCCCTATTCTTGCTGATTTTCCCTTAATAACCTAGGATACTCTGTGGTTAATTTGTGAATCTAAGATCTTAATTTAGGCTGAAATTCCCTTTCCTCCTGCAGTGTCTTTGTCCCTCTTAAAGCAGCAGCAAAGTCAGGAGGTAACTTGTGAACCAACTTTTCTAGACAGATTTTCACAGGCCTAGGAAAAACCCATGTTCATGACCTAGAATTTACTTCACTTCTTAGTTCCACATCTTGTTCCTAAATGACATGAGAAAGGACATTTTGGGGTTTTTAAGGGCAAAACAAGTTGTCCTCTGCCTTAGACTTTTTGTTAGAAAGAGATAAATTCACTTCTGACAGATTTCTGAAATCCAGACTAACTCCTCAGATATTCAGCCTTAAATGTGTACTCAGTGAATAAAACTTCATCCCAAACAACAGGTATTTGAAAAGCTGTAGGCTAGAAAACCAAAACATACCAAACCTTTTTTGAACCAATCCTACTAAGCTCTTAAGTCCATAGCAAAGTGTTGCTCAGTGTTGTTCTCCCTGGTGTTCTTGTGGGTAAACACCACCCCATTTATGTGATTAGATAGTCCATATCTGCAAATCCTACCAAGCACACAGTGAACCAGAGGAGGAGCTTTATCTCAGTTCTCAGGCAATCTTGTTCTTTGCATTCTTCTCCCCTTTGATTTAAGACATGACAACAGGAAAATAAGCCACCAGAGTTGTTAAATTTAAATGTATCATTTCTCTGCTGTGATTCTTGAGTAGAGGAAACATGAAAAGATGGGTGTGTTCCTAAGAAAGAACTCCTCAAAAACTAAAACTAAGGAAATAGAAATTAGAATTAGATCATCTTTGATGATCTCTCTATTTGTGTTGTTGACAAAGTTTATTGAAGTTGTCTGAGTTTCCACTGAGATCTCAAAAAATATTTACGTTGCTCTGAGGGACATTTGATCCAGGCCCCGCACAGAAAATCAAGAAAAATAATCCAAGAATCAGCTTGTCATGCACAGTATTTTGTGTGTCCCACCCTCTGAGAGGTGTCTGAGTCTGCATGTACTCTGACTCTTTCATTGCTCCAGGGTCTTGGGCCACTTGTCCACACTTGTCCTCTCTTACAGCTTTTGTCATATACACTGGCATATTTTTCTGTGGAAGCAGATTGTGTCAGTAAAGGGAGGGAAGGGTTGGCACATGCCCACATCCAGCTCTGATAAAAAACTGGGAAGTGTCTGCCATCTGGGACCTCCCAGATAACTCAGATTAGGTTTATCATAAAAGTAAATATGCAAGTCAGTTTAGGGACTGCAGTATTGCTCCTGCCCTGGAAGTAAGCCAACAGAGCCACGCTGATTGCACACTCTACAACACAGCCTTTCTCATTTGCACACCCTAAAACCAAGAGAAAGCAAGCAGAGAATTCAACCAGGAACCCACCTTGCTCTGGAAAAGGATGGGTTGTTACTGACAAAACAGGAGAAATCTTGGAGCTATGGTAGTTTCGTCATCACTTGGGCTCCATAAACCAGGAAAAGAGCACTTCGGGAAAGACCTGCTACAGCTTGGACAACAGTGACAGATATATTGAGGTGATGTTACCTGTAACAGTCCAGGAGCTTATAAGAACAACCAAGTCACCTTCTCTGAAGGAACTTCAGAGCAGGCAGGATTTTGCTCAGACTATTCTCAGAGTGCATTTTGGAGGCACATCTGAAAAAAAGGCATTTTGGTGACTGCATCCTTCCCTGTGACATCAGCCAAGACCCAGGACTGGCTGTATCGCAGCCTCCAGGATCCCCCATCCCAAGAAGCTCATCCAAAGGTGACAGAGACACTCAGAGGAACATGGCAGGGGGATGCCCTGCTTTTGTGTCTCCACCAGCTATGCCTTGCTGAGTGGATCTCCCTCTTGGCTTCTGCAGCAGAGAAGAAATGTTTCAGGGCAGGGAGCTGGAGCGGACCAGCACAACGGCTGGGTCATGCTGGCACTAAGATGCGAGGAGGAGGTTTTCTTCACACCTTTGACTGCATACTGTGAGTGCTAGGCTGTTGAAAATACCCCAGCTTCCTCTGTGGCCACTCTCAGGCAGCTGTGCCCATAGGCTGGGAAGGCAGGTGTTCTGCCTGGCTGGGTACACAAGCTCTGCTGCTCAGTCTGCTCTGGCAGAGCTGAGGGAGGTGCCTGGTTGCTCAATCCTGGCAAGCCCGGGCACTGAGACTGAGTGCCGGTTCCTTAGAAGTGCCAAAGAGGAACGTCTGGGTGTTTCTGTGGTCAGGTAATAGCTAAAAGAAGGTTTTTTTGAGCTGTGCACTTGGCTTTGCACCAGAATTTAGCTTTAATTCTTTGTTGCATCGATTCCTCATTCTTGCTCACAGTGCAGCTCCCTGTCCTTACTACACTTTAATGTTTTCAAGCTTCTTAGAAGTGCATTTCTTCATTATTTATCTAGTCTGACTAATTACCTGGGCATTATTTGTCCCTTGTTTGGGACCTCCCCTTTGTCATCTCCTATCACTGTGATGACAGCATGAGTACTTCTCACATGAATGCTTATCTGAATATGAATTCTCACCAGCTTTTGCAATGCTTCACGTGTGCAAACATCCAGGGAAAGTGTAGAGCTGGGCTAACAAATGCTGACACACAGTCTTCCTTTGAACAAAATCTTGAAGAAGATTGTGGGAGATATCTATATCTGGCTCTAGTTTATCCAGACATCTGCTTGGAGAATGGGACTCTCCAAAAGCAGACATCATTCTTAATGAAACACAGGATTGGTATGTGTTAGCTGAATTTCACACCTTTTTCCAAGTAGTGGGGAAAAATATTTAGGCCTAATAATAAGTAATGAATCCAGATATTTTTAAGAAAATGAATGTATAGCCACTGGTTATAGATAAATCTTTTTTCAACAAAGCATTTTAAAGAAGAACTTTTTGGACTATTGGTCCTAGGATGCTCTCTGAAATTTCAGTTCATCTGTGCTCCAGCAAGGCTTTTGCTTAGAGGATGCAAGAAGCGGAAGCCAATGTTTGTTTCTTTTCTCTGACCTACTGCTGAGTAATTGAATCATCCCAAGCAACAAGCTAATGTTTTTTCTCCCTAGGAGAACATAATGTTACCAGGAAAAGGAGAGGAGGGAACAAAATCAAAAAGGCATCTGCAGGTATTTATTCCAAATGCCATACAGAGAATATCTGAGACCAGGAAAAAGTATTTTTGTAGCTGAAGAAAATACTCATAAATCCAAATGAGCATGGGTGGGTGGTGCTGAGCCCCTGACACCTGTGGGGTCCAGGAGGGTACAGCAGACCTGGCTGATGCCATGGAAATGCAGATAGGCAAAACCAAGAATGTAGGACTTGACTTCTGGCATATTTTTCAACATTTCTAGGGTAGATACATGAATTATAAATGCTCAGAGGTGCTAGAGCATCAGCTCAACAGACTGGCTATTTCCATATGGCAAAAAACATGCTGAGAGAGGACAACCTGGGCTCATTATGACTCTTAATGAGTACCCAAATGAGTATCCAACTTCCAGATATGTGGCTAAGCTAACTACTTTGAGCCAAGACCTGTTGTGGGTAAGTTTTTAATTCAGTGTCCTGTGGGCAGGAAGAGAAATGAGGCAGAAACTCCCGCTTCGCTGTTCTGGACAGAGGCATGCAAACTCATGGCAAGTATTGCTGCTGTCGCCTAGAAGATGCTAAAGTATCAAGCTTTTCTTTGCCCCAGACTGGCTACATGTGGGATTAGACTGCTCTGCTGCAGAGGAGGTGACCCTATTTACATGACTAAGATATCTGTTATAATAATACTCCAGTGTGGATGCATGCACATTTCTTTCATTTCATCCTTCCCACAGTGCTGATTTTTAGGCCTGATGCTGTCTGTGGCCTGAAATAGTCATCTGGTCTTTGGCAAGGGCAAAGTTTCTAACTCTTGCTGGCTAGGCATGTGTTTTATGAACTTGGGTCCCTGTGAGGTGGTGGGAAATGAGCGAGTTCTTTTAATCAAACTGATCTAAACTGATGTTGCCATGAATGAAAAAGCCCAGAGATAGAGAAGATGTGCTAAGGGTGTGGTTGAAGGCCTTTGAATTGGCTGGCCTTGAGTGTGTGCAGCAAGATCTTTAAGTCCATTTAATGTTGTGGAAGTGGCCCTTTGGGACAGGGATCTTTGCAGCCTGAACTGCCCTTGTGCCTCTGTGTGTGTTTCCATGGTGCAAGAGCAAAAGAAAGGTAGGAGCGAGCCTGTGTGCTGCAGGGCTCAGGGTTTGTGCCGATTGAGTTCCACAAACATGCAGCTAAGGAGGAGAAAACTTCTGTTTATTAACCTAAATAAACCTTATGTATATTAACCTAAACCTTATGTTTATGAAACTTCTTAACCTAAGGGGAAGAGGAGGGAAGAACTGTGGGCAGGAGAAGGGAATAGTCAGGGAGGGAGGGAGCTGTACATAGGGCTGGAGAGGCCAGGAGCTGCATGGTCTTCCCGGTAGGCTCAGTTGGTTGGAGCCCAGCACCGCTGAGAAGTGGTGTCTTCGCTGCTGTGCGGTGCTGTTCCAGGCACATTGGTTGTCTTGGTGGAGAAGACTACTTTCTTACTGCCCGTCGAAAAGCAGACAAGACTGCAGTCTGCATGGTGGAGTAGGAGGGGCAGTCATCTTCGGTCATGACTTCGAGGGCTGGAAGAGAAGAACAGAGCCATGGTCAGATCCTTGATCTGCGGGTTCTCGAGGAGTCCCTTCTATTAGGTCCATCCCAGCCAGCTGTTGCCGTGGCCAGGAGGGAGCAGGGGTCCCCAGGATGAGCTGGAAGGTGCTGGCTCCCAATCCTCCCCATGCCCCTGAATTGTGTTTGTGCTCTGCCCACAGCACCCTGGTCCGTGCAGGGAGCAGAGCCCTGCAGAGGCGGGGCAGGGATTGCAGCTCCCTGCCCAGGGTCTGTGCTTGTCCCCACCAGCCTGCATTGAGAGCCCTCAGTCCTCACTCACCATTCATGATGGGCTGTAGGTCTTGCATGTGCCAGGCGGCGACCCCTGGGAACAGAGAGCATGTCAGGGCCTTATTGGCACAGCTCCCCCCAAGTGGCACTGCCAGCCTGGCCACACACGGCCCCCTGGTCTGGCAGGGCTGAGCACGGGGCCTTCCCGCATGGGGACACCCAAGGGCACGGCTGGCAGAGGGCGGCACAGCCGCCAGGGCACTCAGGGCTCCACAGCAGGTCCCTGGGCCTGATCCTGCTGCCACTGCAGCATCTGGGGCTGGGGCCGAGGTGCAGCAGAGCGGGGAGGGACCGCGGGCTTGTAACTCACCCATGAACCGGATGGCCGCCTCTCGCAGGGGCTGCTGTTGGCTCTGCAGGTATGGCAGGGCCTGGCGCAGGTGTTCAGCCCTCCTGCTCACATCCTTGTCCATCTGCAGAGAGCAGCAGGGCACGGAGGGAAGGGTTGGCTCAGGTTCTGCCCTTTGTCCGGCTGCTGCCTGGGCATCGGAGCTGGGGGCTTGTCCACCCTGGGGCTGGGCCATTGGGCTCATCCTTACCAGGCAATCGACAAACTTGATGGGCTGCTCTCTCCTCAGCAGCTGCTCGAGATCCCTCCTCTTGAGGAAACTTGCCGCACAAAGCAGTGTTTCCCGAGAGGCCTGCAGAGGAGCAGAGATCTGGACATGGCACCACAGCCCAGGGCACAGGACCTGCACTCTGGGCCAAGGCCAGGAGGAGGCTGGAGCCTGCGAGGCACCCGGGCAGGAGACAGATGAGCCCCTGGCACAGGGACACCAGAGCCCACAAGAGCTCACCTCTGCCACGCACTGGTTCTCATCGTGCAAATGGAAGAACAGGGGGACCAGGCTCTGGTGCACCTGCATATTCAAGGTCTTTCTTCTCATCTTCATCAAGCCACTCCATCACCTCTCTGAAGAGGCGAATGGAGAGCAGCTGCACATGGGTGTTGTCCTGGTGCAGAAAGAGGAGAAAAAGACCTCAGCACTGGCTGCTCCAGGCCCAGCAGGCACTGGTCCAGATCTGAAAATCCGCAGGGCACAAAGCTTGCAGGCAGCACCAGGCAACCAGAGCCTTACATTATCAAAGAGTGGCCGGAGCGCCTCAGCCAGCTTCGGGGCAGTGGAGCTGAATGCTTCGATGTCCTTGTCCTGGAGCATATTCAGGAACACAGAGAGGGTCATCCTGACCACATCTCCATCTCCATCATGAAGCAGCTCCACGAGGTGCTCAGACAGGGTGCAGATGCTGTCGGCCTGTGTGGAACACAGTGCAGTTCTGTGAAGCCCTGAACAGCTGCCCCACCAACAGCTCTCTGGTGCTGCAACCCCACCCTGCTGCCACAGGGCCCAGAGGACAAAGGCCTGTCCCACAGGGCCTGGGCAGCTTAACAGGGAGGCAGGAGAGCTGGAAGCAGCTGCCACAGCTCCCAAAGCCCAGCTGTGCCCGAGAGACTGAGTTTCCCAGTCCCAGGCTCTCAGTATGGCTTCAACCTGGTGTCCCCTTCTCACCATTGAGGGATCCACACTGAGCACAAGGAGGCCTCTGAGTGCCAGGTGACGGCTCTCAGGGCACTGGCTGTGCAGGTGCTTGGCTAGGATAGGCAGGACACTCTCATGACATTTTCTCCCATCCAGATAGTCGAGGAGCTGGAAGGCAGAGAGCAGTGACGGGGGGACCGGGTGGCAGGAACCCGGAGCTGCACAGGGCCGTGCCCAGGCAGCAGCACAGGGCACAGCGCTCGCCACCAGGCTCACCTCAACAAGGAAGGCCAGGGCAGGCAGCTCCCAGCGGGGCTCCTCCCTGCTGAGCAGCCTGAGCAGGTGGGTTGCAATGCCGGAATTGAAGGGGGCCAAGACACTGCGCATCTCCCTGTCAAGAAGAGAAAGGAGCCATCGATCCTGAGCAGGGTAAGCAAAGCTCTCCGATGACTGACTCCCAGAGGTCTGGTCTTTCTGCAGAAGCCCTGGACTGGACACGGGCGCGTTAGGAGGTGGCTCCTCCTGTGCACTCGTCTCTCACATCCTTTTCCAAACTGCTCCCCCAGCCCTTGGTGCCAAGAACGTCTGGCCCACAACCATGGAGGCTGTGTAGGGTGCCTCGTGCCCAGGGGACAGATGATGGTGGCAGCAGGGAGAAGGGTGTCTCACCTGGCCAGCAGCCCCACTGCATAGTGGTGGGTGTCAGCATGGAGCAGGGTGTCCCAGCCACGCTTGCGTTCCACGGCCACCACCTCGTTCTCCCAGTGTAGATAGCAGAGCAGGGCCTTGATGGTCTGTACAGCAAATCTGTGTGCAGAAGAAAGCCCAAGTCATGCTGGGAGCTGTGTCCCCAGTCCTGAGGGTAGGGGAAGGAGAGAGGATTGGGTGGAGCACCTGTTGGGGTTGTTGGGAAGGTCATGTTGCTCCTGACATTGGCTCCAGAAGGTCTTGACCTCCTCTGGCATCTGCTCTGTGCTCATGAATACTTGGAAAAGCAGAGCCACGAGGAGGTGGGGGGCATAAATCAGCACTGCGTCTTGGCACTGGGGCTCCTGGATGATGAGCCGCAGTGCCAGGGTTGCCTGCAATAAAACCACACGGAGACAGCGCTCAGTGGCCAGACGTCCATGTGGCCGAGCCTGAGCGTGGGAGGGAGAGGACAGGGGAGATGCAGGGGGAGCAGCCGGCCTGGTGCCCCTGAAGCTGCCCCTCAGGCAGATTTGCATGCACACGCCTGAGGCAGGGAGATGCAGTGGTGGGGGAGGATGGAGAGCCACTGGAGAGGTGACCTGGAGAGGAGCAAAGACCAGTTCCAGAAACTCACAGCCAGGGCAAAGACGTCTTTGTTGTCACCACCGTCAGAGGAGGACATGCAGTGCAGAGGCCAGTCCTCCATCACTTGGAGCAGTGCTGGGATCACCTTCTCTGCTGTCGTTCCTGAGGCAGCGATGGTCCTCCAGATCATTGCAGCAGCTCTGTGGAGCCAGAGCCCTGTGTCAGGGGGGTGTTGGCCACAGTGCCATGGCCTGGGTAGCTGTGGGGGCTCAGGCCGCAAGGTCATGCTGCCTTGAGGTGCAGGGAGGGCATATGGATGAGGGACTGACAGACCATGGCTGAGAAATGGAGGGGCCAGAGGGTCCTGGAACTCTCCATCTGTCTGTCAGACCGGGTGGGACAGGCTCTGGGGTGATGGGTTCTAAAGGCTGAGTAGCCCTGAGCAGCTGGTCCCTGTACCTGTCACACGCTGGGGCACAGCGCAGGAGAGACATCACCACATCCTGAGGGTGTGCAGCAGCCAGCCTGAGAATGTTAGCGTGGAACGTGAGGCACTGCTGGATGTATGTCTCAATGTCCGGCACCTGGAGGGGGAATGGGGGAGAATTGGAGATCCGCCAGTGTGAGGAGGTTGCCCAGCTTCTTCCAAGAAGTGCTTCCCTTCCCCTCACATTGTGCTGGCCTCAAAGGCTTAGGCAGCCATCAGACCCAGCTTGAGGGCCTCAAAAGGCCTCTGTGGGACTCAAGCCCTAGCCACAGGCTGCTTACTTGCTTCTGGTTGGAGAGACCTTTCTCCTGGAAAAAGTCCAAATTGAGAGCAGCAGTCACACCATGTGTGGGCATGGCATCAGTGTTCCCGATGCCCTCAGTCACTGTGGTGTCGGACTTTTCCATAGGATCAGTCACTGGGGTTTCAGCGTTTGTTACGATGTCAGTCACCGCAGTGCCAGGGATTGCTGTGCCATCCATCGGTGCGATGTCAGGGTTTGATATGCCATCATCTGGCATGGGTGCGATGTCAGCCTTTGCCAGGAGATCAGTCGGTGCAATATCAGAGGTGGTTGTCTCGTCAGCCAAAGCAGTGTCAGGGTTTGCTGTGCAATGAATCGGTGCCATGTCAGCCGTCGCCGTGAGATCGGTCATTGTGGTGAGAGGGCTTGTCAGGTCCTGGATCAAAGCAGTGTCAGAGGTTTCTGTGGGATCAGTCGGCATGGAGCTGACATCAGGCTGTGCCTTGAGGTCGGTTGGCTTGGTGTCGGGCTGTGCCATTTCCTCAGGTGGTGTGGTCTTGGGTGTTCTACGCCGAATTCCCACGAATTTGAGAAACCTCTGCAGGAGAACAAAGGGTGGGGAAGAGAGGAAATTCCCATGGAGTGCTCCAACAGCAGTGCTTGGCTGAGAGGTGACAGCAGGCAGAGCCCAGGTGGAGATGGCTGCAGGTACCTGAACTGCTCTGCGGAAGCGGCCATGGGCACGGACGTGCTCTTCTGTCCGGTGCTGGCCTGGATCTGCCAAAGAGCAATTGCAGTCAGAGCTGAGGGCTTGCGGGAGATGGCAGAGAACACAGCCCAGCCCTTCGCTCCACAGGCAGGGCGGCCTCGGGACACCCAGTGGATGGAGCAGGGATGCATGGGGGATCAGCCTTGGCCCCTCTTCCCCGCTCCCTTTGCCTGGCCTTGTTCCACAGGGGACGGGCAGGGGCCAAGGTGGCTGCAGCCACCAGCCCTGTAGCCCAGGTCCAGCACTGACCCTGCTGCAGGGGCTGGAAGTCTTGCATGTCCTCAGGTTGCCTTGCTGGGGCAGGCCCAGGGCCTTTGTTGTTCCTCCTGAGAAGCCTGCACAGGCCGGAGCGTCTCCCTGCCATGCCACAGTCTGTCCTCAAGGGCACCTGCAAAAGAGACACCTCGGAAAAGCCCCTGCTCGCAAGTTCTGCAGAATGGCCTCAAGGGCACGTTCCACAGGGATTGGGGACGCCTCAGACAAGCTGCGGGTCCCCAAGTCCTGTGGTCTGGCCTCAAGGGCCTGGTCCACAGGGATTGGGGACGCCTCAGACGAGCTGCGGGTCCCCAAGTCACGTAGTCTGTCCTCGAGGGCACCTTCCACCAGGAGTGGTGGTGTCTCGGAGAAGCTCTGGGTCCCCGACTCCCGTGGTCTGGCCTCGAGGGATGTTGCTAGAAAAGGAATCCTCTGAAATGCTTCTGGTCAGCGACGAATCGAGTTGGCTGTGAGGAGATTCCTCACAGCACCGCTCTGTCCCGTCCTGTCCAGACGCGCGCTCTGAGCACTGTGGCGAGGCCGTGTTGCCACCAACACCTATATCAGGACGTGTCACAAAGGGCCCTTGGACCCACTGCCCCATTCCATCCCATTGTCGATGGCCACCATGTCACAAAGGGCCCTGTGACACACTGCCACGTGCCCTGGGGCCTTCCCCAGCCTGGCCAACCTGCCCCAGGTTGAAAGGAATCCATTCCCTAAAGTGTCTGAGACAGCTGGATGTGAATTTTAGAAATGGCTCATGAAAGAAGCAAACACTCCCCTGCTGTGTCTGCTCTTGGCAGCAGAAGGAGCCCCCTTGGCTGCCAATGGAGCCCCAGTGGGAAGGGTACGGGGTCTCCACAGAACCTTGCCATGCCTCCTCTGGAGAAGTCTTGATTGGTGGCCACCTAAACACAGGGGTGTGACACAGAAGGACTATTTGGGCAAGGGCCCAAATGCTGCTCTGACCCCTTCAGCTGGGGCTGCACCGAAATCAGCATCTCTGGCAAGTCCCTGCCCAAGCAGACCTGCCTCCCACAGCTTGGATCCAAATCCAATCTTTGATATTAAACAATCCTGAACTCCAAGACTTATTTTAGAATAACGCAGTCAGTGCTTAACTAAAGAGTTTTAATGGAAAAACATTACAAACGTGCTAGCAGTTTTAAAGTGCAAATACAGTTCATGAGCAACTCCACTTTAGCAGGGGTTTTGCTGCAATTTGTTCACTGGACTGACAACATACCCACCTTCCCAGTAGGGATTGGGAATTTCCCAGTACTTCAGACCTCTTCTGTGATTTGATGATACAGTAAATCCAACTTTAGGGTTCCTAAAACCAGACCACCCCTCAGAACCCTATGCCCCAAAGTGCTGTTGTTGCTGCATAGAGTCCCTCTGCCTGTCTGAGGACACTGCTGGTGTAGCACCGCACAGATGAATTTTATGGCACATCTCCTGTCACCTGCCTGCCTTCAGCTGGAGAAGCAACCAGCCCAGACTCTGACCTGTGCTTTCTGACTAGCTGGAGAGATCAGATGCTGAGAGCTGGGGTACAACCCAGGGGAGCTGTATCCAGAGCTGCAAAGATGCCTAAAAACAGGCAGTGCAGCTCCACGCTGTGGGGAAGGAGGGGAAGTAGACAAGGAGCTGGCACGGATGGGAGGGGGAAGGGTTCTCTGCTCACTGGCACCCAGTGACATCCCCTTCTGCTGGGATGCTGAGGGGTCTTCACTGACCTCCCCCTATCCCCAGGTCTCCCCTTGTCCCTTCTGTGGTGCAGGGAGGGCTGGGAGTTCCCCCCTTCCACAGGCTGTTTTGTCAGTCTCCTCTGAGCTGTACTGCGGCTCCTGCCACTTGACATTTTCTTCCACTTATAGCCTGGAAAACAACAGCAGGTGACTTTGGGAGGATATTGGACCTAGGACCAACAAAGCCCCATGGAGGACTCTGCTTTTTATCTTCAAAGGTGTGTTTCTGCCCACAGGGGATGTCCATGGCAAAATTCCCTGTGCTCCCATGAGGAGTGCCCCTGGGCAGGGGTTAATCTTCAAGGTCCTTTTCCTGCTGCCGCAGAAACCACCTCTTCCAGGTGACAGGCCCAGCCTTTAAGAAGGAGTGCCCCATTGCTTGTGTGGCACATAGGAATCTCTAGTACTGTGGTGCCAGGGCTGGCTCTCCACTGATTAACACTCACGAGGGTGCTGGAAAGGTCCTGAGCAACCCTGATCTGAAGCATCGATGTCCCTGGCAGAGGGTCATCTGCATGCAGGATAAACCCTTCCCTCAGGGATTAATTGCTGGTGGCCAGGCCAGTCCATGGTACAGCAAGTAAGGCTTAGTGATGAAACCAGGTTGCCTGTGCCAGGGTTGCCAGCTAGGGGGAAAGAGGGCTGAGTACTGCCAAAAGACATCTGGTGCAATATGCCTGGGAAGTGTGGCAAAGGCACACTTGCTACGGGACCAGTCAGGCTTGGTTTCAGCAGGGATAACTCACAAGACTGATCTGAACAAGTTATTGGTCCATGTGCCCCACTGAGTAGCAAGTGCTGAGGGTGTTTTGAGGCATCCAGCCATGGTTAGCAGCTGGTTTCCCTTTGAGTGGTTTTGCCCTGGTTTGAACTTCTCTCAGGCTGCCCTTGGAAGATCACCAAGTGAACAGTTCAGCAACACAGTTTCAGCTTGGTATTGTCAAATGGATCCAATGGCTTTCCTATTATTTTGACTGACAAAGCCAGTTGTACCCTTTAACTGTCACAGTTTCCATCAATCTGTCTGCTCGTCTCTACCCCTAAATGTCATCAGCAGTGACATGGATCCCTGAGAGTCTTGTTAGTGTGTCTTGCTGGCAGCATCTCTACTTTTGATCCCAAATGACAGTCTCAGCCATCTGTACTTTGATACTGGTACTCAAAACAAGGCAAGGAGTCCACTTTCATTGCCTAGTAGCTCATGCCAATCTCCAATATTGCCATCCAACACTGGGAATATCTTTATTTTGCTTTTGCCAAGTCAGGTAAGGTTTCTTTTGTGATAAACTCTTGGAGGGAGGTTGTTTAGTGCACTATTTAGCTTGCTTGGATCTGTTCAAGTGCACAGCTTGTTTGCTGCCATGATTGCCTTGGCTGGAGATTTCCTTGACCTTCCTTTGGCATTGTATTGCTCTTGTTATATTTTCTCTTAACATGCTGTGTAGTCAGGGAGGTACCTGTTGATGTGCTTGAAGACTGGAGCCTTTTAGCAGCTTGGATGTGAGGAGATTGTGGATGTAGTCTGCTTTGGTCTCATGTTTTTATTCTGCCCATGTTTTCATTATGTGAATATCTCATCCCAAGTCTGGCCTCACTTAGATTACAAAATTACACAATTTTACTGAAGCTGCTGTATCAATAACAATGGCAGCCCTGTCGCTTCTTCTTCCCATCTCAGGCTTGTCATGTCCCAGATCTGGGACTCAACCACTCACTTGGTGCCCTGTGGTAGCTGTCTCTCAGGCAGCTATGCACCATGTGGGGACACCTCTCCAGGCCCCTCTCGCTCATGGTGATATATCCAGTTGTCTCACGTGCTGCCAAGGAAGGTACTTTTAGAAGGTCTGAACATCTTGTGTGTAATTTACAATCTCCTCAGGGGTATTTGGATCCTGCCAAGCTTTAATTTTGCTTTGCTTAATTGCAGGTTGGGTTTGTTTTCTGTGTGATGCTGAGAAATGCCTGGGAACTCACCCTGCTTACCATCAGTCCCTTTGCTTGTTTATCTTCTGTTTTTTTCTGATTCCGTATCACTTCAAATCAGTATTAATTCTTCCTCCCTCTTTCCTGAAGCTTTGACATAACAATTTCTTGCAGTAGTTACTGTTGGTGACCACTGTGGCATTTGCTGATATACCCTGCCCTTTATTATTCAGAAGTAAAGCATTTGTGGTGCCTTTTTTTACACCAGATTTTCCTCCCCTGCTTTGTCCTTTGTCCTCCTCTGCATTTCCTTGTAAATAACTTCTGGTACTGTTTTTCCATGTATTTCTGGGCTTTTCCAGGCCTGCTTTGTGAACCATCTCTGTGTCTGTTTCTTGCAGGCTGCCTTTGGAGATGATCTTAACAATGTCTGTGCACATCTCCAGGTCTTGGGTGGTAAGCAAAATTCCTTGGAGCATTTCTGAGCCCTGTCCTGACATCTCAGTATTGTCTCTGCTGCCTGTTAAGGACAGGCTCTTTCACCTCTGCTGTAAGCCCACAGATTCTACAAGGGTCTCTGAAACAAGTGACTGAATTTGTCCTGGTGGTTGTTGTGCCTCTGCCTTATCCAGGAGGTCACAGGAATACATTTTCATGGTGCTCTCATGCAGGTGCTGGTTGTGTGTGTGCAGCAGAGGAGCTGTAGTGTGTCCCTCTGCACGTAGGCACACACAGCTGGCAGCTGCTCCCCCTTCTCCTCGACGTGACTCCAAGCAGCAGCTTTGGTCACTGGCCTCAGGAGGAGCTGGGCTGGCTGGGTAGGGGCATGGAGCTCTGCAGAGCATCAGGATGCCGTTGGGAACAGTGCTGAAGTGCTGGGAAGTGACTGGGAACATGATGGTGGTTGCAGAGCTCCTGAGATGTACAGTCAGAGTTATGAGTGAGCGAGACCCAAAAGCCACTGGTCACTCTTGAAGGTGATGTTGAAGTTGTGTTATGTGGTGGGCAGAACAGATGGGAGTTGGGCTCAGCTCTGCTACCACCTTACCTAGAGTGCCTTTAGTCTTGTCACTTGTGCTCTCCAGGCTGGGATTTCTCTGTCTGTTACATGGGGATTTTGTGGTGTACTTTAAGATCAGCAGATTGACAGCTATTCAAAAGATAAATCTTATTCTTTTATCAACATGTTTCTGTCAGCAGGGCTAACCTAAGCTAACCACTGATCCAGATGCTCTTGGAATCAGCTGGGAGTTTATACATCAGTTCCTTGCTGACATGCTGTCTCATCCAAATTGTGATTTATGATGCTAATGCTCTCTCAACACTTTTCTAATTTTTTAATAAAGATACTTTTGTGAAGTATTCCACTTCAAGCCCAGACCAGATTTATTCATATGTTTAAGTTATAAACAGAGTAATTGGTGGAGCAACAACTTCATTAAGTTTAACAGACTGGCATGGCTGAGAAAGAAAACCGACCTCCTCTGGAGCTATGCCCAGGTGGGGAGTCAGGAAGGCAGAACACCACATTAGTAATCACTCCACTGATGTTTTCTTACTACACCAACATTATATTGGTAAGGAAATTGCATGCTTCACTCTTTGACATAGTTACGGTGATAAATTGGGTGTACAGAAGAATTAATGATGAAATTAAATGGAGTTATGAATATATATAAGACCTCTTTCCCAAGGTCAGTTCTGGATGACACAGCAAAGATACTATAACAACAGGTAAGATGTGGGCTCGGTCAGTTGTGGGTAGCATGTTGCTGAAGGCTGGATGCAAATGTTTGCTCAGGGGTGCAAAGAGATGGAGGAAGATAGGAGCTTTCAAGTCCATGATATCCCCCTCTGCTCTTGAAGGAACCCTGTTTTTAATAGAGCCTGTTGCCACCTTGGTGCTAAACTAAGCCCTGCACCCTTCACATGATGTGCTTTGTTAGGAGGCCATGCAGGACTTGAGAGCTGAGCTCTGGGTGCTGCAGAGACACGTGCTGTGGAGACATCCAGTGTTCCAAAGGATGGAGACTTGGGCTTTTTGGATGCTACTCAGCAATTCAGGAGGCAGTTCAGTCTACTTGGCCCTATCCTAATCTCTCAGTGCAAGTAATTTGGGTCAACATTTCAACAATGAGTGGTGATTTTTTGTTTCTTTTTCAAGCACCTTCATGTTTGATTGTTTAGCTTTGAGTAACTAAACTGGATTCAAGCCAAAGCTGCTAGCCTCAACTCTGCAAGAAGGGCTCTCTCAAGTAGTACATCCCAAACACAGGACTTGTAATTGCCAATTGCTTCTGAAAAGCCTGTCCTGTCTCTCAGTTCTCTGTGGTGCACACAGACATAACAGTGCTTCCTTTGCCTCCAGGAATGCTGAGGGCATGGACATAGTTAAAGTAGAAGGGCACTCTCAGACTCAGCGGATCAAAGAAATGTCTTAAATAGATTTATTATTTTTTTTCAGATTTGATTCCATTTCCAAAGTCTTTGTAATTACCACCATACAGAAGTCATACATCTCTGCAGGCTTTGCCCCATGAGTGGCTCCTACATCATTCCGGAGGAGCTGCACACCCTGCAGGGAAACACTTTGTGAAGTGGTTCTTGAGAGACATCCCTGTGCTTTCTAAGTGATACAAGAAGTTTTATTCACATTTCACCAAGTGACCTTGCCCAGAGCTGCAGCTCTGAAGTAAAGTCCCTACAACTCTGCAAGTTGTGTGTATGCAGAAGAGTTTTGTCTGCACTATTTTTCTGGTGAGGATGTCCTTTTCTAAGGTGACAGTATTAAGTTGATCAGTTTTCATTCCTCTTTTGTTTGCACTTTGTAGAATAAATGGAAACAAGCTAGATTTGCTTTCTAATTGGTGAGTGAGTGGGTCTGGTTTCTATCTGATAGCAAGGAGAGGGGAGATGTACGCTGCCAGAGGAGGGCTTGGGATCTCTCAGCTCTGCAGGAACTGGAAGCTGCTGCTTCTCTGGAAGGAAACATATTACAAGCCAATGTCCTCCCGTGTCAGGGCACCGAGGTACAGCCTTAGGGGAGCCAGGGATGGGAAGAGCTGGCAGTGAAGTGTGTGCATGCCCTTGCAGATGAGCTCTGCTTCTCTGGGCTGAGGCCACGCTGGCCCAACACGCCGTGGGGTCATGCAGCCACCCAGAGGGACATCGCAGCTCCGTGTGCCAGACGCGACACTGACCTCTGCTTCTCTCCTCCTCATCCTTCCAAGTACTTTCTGGTAAATAATCTAAGGTATGGGGATTTTTACTCCCCATAGTTTCCAGCCCCGGGAAAGCACTGCCCGATGGGAATGTGGCTCTCCCTAGCCCCTCTGTTGCCTGGTGCTGTATGTGCCGAATCCCTCCAGTCCCTGTCCGACTCGCACCGGCAGCAATAGCCGGCTCGTGGCAGCAGAGGGAGTCGGAAGCCCGGCCACGGGTTGGGGCTCCGCTCCCCACGCTCCTCCCGCCCCCTGCGCTCAAACCTAACTCAAAAACCCTCAGCTGGATGAAGTATGAAGATGCGCCTAATTTTTCAGACATGAACTGCCTTTGTCTCTAGTGCCAAGGAGAGCAACATCTACCTTGAAGTTTTATCATGTAGGGAAATATGACGTTTACGATGTTACATGCAGTTTTGAAATTCCCATCCCAGTGGGAGGCAAATTCTGAGGCAGAATAGATTTCCAGCCTGCTGTTTCCAGGAGGCAGCAGCCCCAGAAAAAAACTCCAACCCAACCCAAAAACAACAACAAGAACAAAAACACCCCCCCCAAACCTGACCAAAAAACATCAACAAAAATATTTAAAGTAATTAGAAAAAAATAGGAGCAAGAACCCAGTGACTGCTGATTAAGGATGGCAGGAGAGACAGCACAACTGAGAAAGCCCAGCCTTGTAGGGCTGGCTTTGGACTCCAGTAGGAAAGAGGTGTCTTGGTGCTTTCTGCCTACTCTCCTATTTCCTAGAAAGAGTTCTGCAGCTGTTCCAGAGTTCCAGCTAGCAGGTGCATGCTGGCAGGCTGGGACACCCCTTGTCTTTGGAGCACACTGTGGATAGAGTGAAGCTGGAACCGTTGTCAGCCCACATGAAATGCCAGATGAATGTGGTCTCTCTGCAGTAATGAGGGATATTACTTTAAATGGCTCAATAACGCTACAGCTTTGCTATCTCCTGCACCGTAATATATAAACTCTTTTACAGACCTGGATGGAATTTCTTTGACATTTCCTCAAATTGCATTGTTTTAAGGTACTTTTGCATTTTTATTGGCAACCCGGTTGTAATAGATGGAATCCACATAGCATTGAAACTGCTTTCTGGGAGATGCCTGTTAGCTGTGAAATATAAACCAATAAGGTCTTAGAGTATAGCTTAATCTTATCAGCAGAATTCAGGTAGTGTGAGGCTGAAATTGTGCTACTAACAAGTGTTTCCAGACATCACTACCTTGATGAAATGGGATGGAAAAATCAGGAAATAAAGCTGTGTCTGGATCCACAGAGCTCCTCAATGCAGCAGCACAGAGAGCGGAGTTGGCTGTGCCAGGCAGCAGCCAAGTGATTAAGATAAACACTTCTGTGTTCCTGGTATGCTGCAACACTAACACTACCCTGGTGAGCTTCCCAAGCCAGGAGGCATCAATCCTCTTCAACTACAGAGACAAACTGCAAGTGATTGCAAGAAAATGTGGATAGTTTGATGATATTTTTAGGGACTCCTCTCCTTTTAGGTTAAGAATGAAGTGAGGGCTGTCAGTGCCTTGGGGATTGCTGTGGGTATAAGCCAGCACCTCAATTTATTTAAGTTCCTTTAGGAGCAGAGATATATCATTTTAGCTGCTGGGATTTTGATCTCTGCAGGCTTTTTGAATGGCTGACTCTGGGTTTTAATACTCACTTCAGAAGATGTGCAAAATCCACCCTAAAAGCTTGCCAATATCATCCCTTAATGCTCCCCATCTCTCCTTTCTAATGTCTTACACTGGGGTGCTGTGTGATTATTAGGCAACTTATACAGCATAGTTTAAATTGGAAGAATCTCTGTTTCTTAAAAATTTATAGCCTTCAATTATTGAGGTCTTAAGGTCGCACAAGCCTGTGTTCATAAGGTAGCTCTTTGGAGAGCGTGAGGTGATTAATTGGAAATCATTGCATTTAGCTCAGAAATTTAGCTCAGAAAGAACAGCAGAGAGATGCTTAAAGGAGCCATTCCTTGGACCATGAGAGCTGGAAAGATTTAAGATGTATGTAGCCCCTTTGCTTCCTGTAATCTTTAAAGGGCTGAGTTGTATTCACTCCACTTCTCTGGCTCTGAAGGGCTGCCTTAATTGTTGTGGCCACAGCCAAATACCCACCCTAAGGGAAGCCAAATCTGCTGGTTTTCAGTACCCAAAGGGCTTCTCCTTCCTGCCTGACATTGGTTCATATTAGACCCTAAGATTTCCTCGTGTCTTAGCCCCACAGAGCCAGGCTGCAGCAGTCCTTCAATCCCAAATCCAGCCAGGAGGGAGGCAATGCACATACACTTGCAAAAAGGCTCATGGTCTCTCAGGTATTGGCCCCAGACCTCTTGTCCAAGTGTTTTTGTGTTGCACTGCTGTTAAGCAGTCAACCCTGCTGATCAGATGTGCCATAATGCTGTCCTTCTACTCCTCTGCTCCTCATATGGTCCTGGAGCTGTGAAGGAGGTCAACAGAGTCACTGGGGCATTTGTACATCCCTTGTATCATTGTTTGTTCCCAAGGATTGTTCTCTCACTGTTTAATTAGTCCCTTCAGTAATTAAACATATACAATTTGTTCTCTTCCAGTTGATATTTGCCTTGTGGGAGTCAGGGGCTCCTGAGAGCTATCACACATCAGAGTTTTATGGGGATCCTGGGAAGAGGAATCACCTGTGACTTGGGCTTTGGTAATGGCCCAAGCAAGGGGGACAATAAACCAATCCCAATCCCCTGCTTTTAAATACTGAGACAGAGAGACTGGAGCTGGTCCATGATAGTGGTGATTTTTAGCTGGTGCTCCTCTCTCCCTCTCCAGTGTCCAGGGGACCTGTGCAAGCACCTCCCCTCAGCCCTCACTGCTGCAAGCAGCCAGGCAAAGTGTACCAATAGTTTGCTCAAATGCATCCAGCCAGAGACTGCAGGATGATGGAGAGGTCCAGGGCCCCAGAACCAGCAGCAATGCTTCTTCTGTGCATGGTGGCTGAGGCTGGGCTGTAAGCACACGTGTGGCACTTCGGATGAGTGTGCAACTGGGCCATCTGCACAGCCAAGCTGATGGGCTGTTCTCAACAGCCTGAATTCCCCAGTTAGGTATTTCTGCAATTAGAAACCCTCAAATTTTTGATGGTATGCTAAAAATTAATAGCAAAATAACCCCCTGAAGGTGCTCCTTTGGTATTTTCATTACTAAAAATTCAGAAACTTGCTGCAGCCTCAGTCCTTGATTTTTCCTCTAACCCATGCTTTGGAGTGAGCGAAGGACCCACTGACCTCAGTAAGAGTTTGGATGCAGGGACTCCTTCACTGGCCCAAAGCACAATATAAAAGGTGGCCTTTCTGCTCAGGTCTGATATATTGCTCTCAACTTGTACTATTACACATATAAAGAAATTCCAGTTCTTGCAAGCTGATGGATTTGAACATGCCAGCATTGCTAAACACTCTGTTTAGAATTTTTAAATGATTAATTTGTAGCGATGGAGTCTAAATTGAGAATTAAAACCATGCACATCAGTCCCAAGGGAGTTTCCTTCTTCCCTCCCACTCCATCTGGAATGAAGAGGAGTTGGAATTATACATGAATTAATGAATAAGTAATAGAGAGTCACACAAATAAATTTCAGATGCATTTTTTTTTAAATCATCTACAAGTTAATATTTATTTATGTAACTTGCAGAATTCCAGCCAATGGCTGTGTAAATATTAATTAGTAATTAAACTTTAATAGCAAAGCAAAACCCTTGCATTTGCTAAATGTATATATTAAAGCCATCATTATTTGTTTGGAGAATTGGGTTAGTTTGGGACTTTGGTCAAGTGGTGACAAGAACATGATTTTAAAGCGATCCTGGGTTAATCATGCTTTTTTCTTTGATTGCAATTGCTCAAAGAAAGGATGAATGATTTTTTTTTTTCCCTCTCCCATGAGGAGATGATAACAAATTTAAAAAGAGCCCTTGGCAAAACCGGGGAATTGCTGTACTCCCAGTTGTACATTCCTGCTACATTTTTGACTGATTTCCGATACAAAGAGGAGGAAGGAGGATGGCTTCTCAGCCATCAGCACAGCTCTGCTGCCTGCAGTAGCTGTTCTCATTTAGAGCAGCTGATTATCTGGCCTGTGGTGGTACTTTCCTATTTATATGCCTTTTGGCAGCCCAAAGGCTCACCTGCAGTTGCTGTATTTGCAGGATACCATGAGTCATTTTGCATTAACGTCTTGGGTCCGTAATCCACAATGTCCCTGTGTATCACTTTTTGGTATGCCTTGCTAAACCCACCTGGGAAGGAGGTTTACAGGGACGAGCTTTCCTCTTCTGCAAATAGAGGGAGGGTGAAAATGTGGTGAGTCCTGGCAGCACTGTGGCTCATATCTGAGGCCTCCCTGTGATGTCTTGCACCATTTTGCTAATTGCTCTGGTTCTCCTGTTTTCTCTGTGTGTTGTCTTACTGCTCTGGGGCTCTCATGAGGGTTTCTCAATGCCATGGTTTAACCAGTCTGGCTGCTACCCTCCTGGTTCCCAAGTGGCTCTTTGAGCCTTGCCATGATTTGGAGCAGTCCTGGGCTGTGATTCCCTTCAGCTCAGGTGAGGGCAGCAGGTGAAGCAGCTCTCATCCTCAGGTATCTGCAACTAAACAACCTGGCTGGTGGTACAGCTGGAAAAAAAGGTGATTTTACTGAGCTGTGGCTTCAGCAGCACTTGGGCTTGGGTGTTGTATCATGAGGTGAAATTGTCAAGTGATGCCGCAGACCTCTAAGGGGTAAATCATTCTAAGATGCTCTAAGAACTGAAGGCGAGTTTGGGTAGATGGTGGTTTATAGTTATCTACAAATTTATAAAGGGGGAGAGGGAGAATATTGCAGGCAAAAAGGGAGCTCTGGCATTCTGTGTAATCTCATGCAAAGAGTTGGTGGTAGAGTCTGTGGTGCATCCCTGCTCTGGGAGGGTCAGGGAGGTTTGGTTGCACTGTGGTTTGGGTTTGGATTTGTGCTTT